GCTGAAAGGTCCACAGGGAGGAACGCAGGAGCCCCAGGAGTGCTGAAGCCTTCACTTGGCTTGTTGGTCTCACAGATATGTCTGAACAGACAGAGCCTGAATACCTAAGCACAAGAGCGGCTTTAATGGAATTGATTGTCCATCATTTTCCCTAGAATATGGAGAGGTAAAGGCAATCGTATAGTTGGGTATCTGCAGTTCCTTGGTGAGGACAGAAACATATGGTCCCTGAGGCTTGGAGAGAGTTCTTTGAAAAGAGAAAGTGGTGTGTTTCAAATGAGACACCCACCTTCGCTAGGGCAATGCACTGGCAATGCCAGAGAGCAATGGGCTGCTCTGCTGGTTTCCTAAAGACAGGAAAACCTGGTGTCAGAGGCAGATTCTCCATCTTGTATTTTCTACCTCTTTCCAAACAAAGCGGAGCCCACAGCACTGGAGGAGTGCTGCTCACGGCAATAACCCCCCCGCTATGGTAGCCTCATCCATGTGAGCATCCACAGAACATGATTTAGGCTACACGCCCACTACAGCATCTGCCCACTCCTGATTCTACAAGGACCTCCCTAGAAACACCGAAATACTGGCGCAAAAGCTATTTTCATTCTATCACAGGCTGCAATGACACCAGCACAGGGCCCACCCTCCCAAATGCACTCAGCTCAGCAGTTTACCAAGCACACTCAGAAGGGCCAACAACAAAACGGGGTACCAACACTGACAGCCTGAATTTTAGCAAAGATAAAAAAGAGGGGGGTATAGAGAGAAAGTGAAACACTCCAAAGCATGTTTTTATTTTACTGTTCTGTTAAGCATCTGCCCAAGCTACATTAGCAGTCAATAAGTTTTCTCCACAATTCTCCACTTTCATGAAATAGAACTTATTTCTGGTGAAAAATAATCTAAACAGACCAAGAACATGTGCATCATCCATACAGAATGGGAAAGCATTCAGGGCAGTGGGAAAGGGTCATCTTGCAAATGCTGCAAAACCCATCAACAGACAAAAGTTACATTCAGTTCCTAGGAACTAATACACATAAAAAGGAGACCTCCTACCAAGATAGCAGAAAGCTCAAAGTAAAGGAAGAAGGAAAGGTTGAGGATTCTCAGGCCCATACTGTTTGAGACCTCTTCCAAGAAAGACATAATTTCAAACATACCTCCCTTAACAGGGATTTCTCCTAGGTCCACAAATAAATTTCTCTCTCTTGGACAGTGCCATTCACTTTGGAGAGACTGTCTGGTGGGCAGCTGTGTCCTGCTAGTTTTTTACTATTAGGGAGTATTGTCCTTGCACAGAGTGTGGGATAAGAACATACCTGTATGGTAAGGTAGGTTCAACCAAAACCAGCAGCAGAAAACTTCCTGGAAAAGATATTCTTTCCAAGTGCCTTTTACTGTCTTAGTAATTATACTAGTTGAGGAATTAACATAACATTGGTGAAGTGTTATCTCAAGAAACACATGTACTTTGGCACTTGTGCTGTGTTTGTCGAGAGCATTGCTGAAAGCCCTCAAAACCTGCCATAGTGTCAATCTCTGCTTCAGTCATGCTCCACTTCTCTGGAGTGGAAACTCCATCAAAGGCTTAAATCAAAGAGCTGAGTATATGATAATCACCAGGTGAAAACTAATCATGTTTGGGAGTCTAAAACATCTCCTTTCTTTTCCAAGACATCTTTTGCTTAATTCTGACCAGCCATCAGAGGACAGAAAAATATATATGGTCTGACTTGTCAACCAGTCAATACCCCATGAAAAAAGTCTCTTCTATAATCTTTTCCTTTCCATACACCCCAAATACTAGAAAACACAGGCTTCCCCATGATATTTGATTGGTTGGGTTCCGTAACAGCTGGTGGTGTGGAAATAATGCTTCATAATATTCTAACACAAATTAATAGTTTTAGCCAATCCCCTTCATTAAATATGCTTGTTTTCTTCATGCCAATGACATTAATTTATATAGAAAATGTAATAAGACAGGAAAAGGTATTTCCTAGTAAGATGTTAAAAAGCTGATAGAAAAGCAGAATAATGTAGTATGTTCATTTTTAATTACATTCTGTATGTGGTCATTTCAGGCATTCTGGAAATACAGGAATTATTCAATATATAACTTTGGCAAATATACTTACAAATATACTCCAGAGACACTACCAGAAATTTATACTACAGAATAAAAGCCATCAGTTAAAAGGAAGGCACTAGATATTAATCCTTGTGGTGAAAGAGCTATTTCAAAAAGTGAATTCAGCCCCATCCTCTTCAGTATGTACCTACTAACATTCAATATAGTCATCTTGAACCTGTACAATGTCTGAAACAACAGTTCAGAAAAGGGTAAAAATATACATTTCATATTGAAAGAAAGGCTCACTCTGAAAATCAGGTATAATAATTAGACATTAATACTCAACAACTATGTCCATGTTCAACCCTGGAACAAGTCTGTGCTCTCTCAGAGAAGTCAGACTCATTGCAGAGGCTGCAGGAGGTGATAGGTCATCACCAGCACAGCAGGACATAATAAAGCTCCACAATTAAGCATTTTCCTGCTTTTCTTTATTTTAGTAGTTTCTTTATGGTGGCATAAGCACTGAAATTGGTGTTCTCAACATTTTTTATACATAGGTTGTTTTAATCTTAGGATTTTCCTGTGCTACATCAACAAGCTCTGTTCACCAAGGCTCCTGCTTAGCTGCTACAGGCTGCAGAAGTGAGAGACCACGGTTTTGTAAAGCCCAGCACCTCACTCTGAGGCTGGAGTTTGCTTCTCAGGAATCCCTCCAGAGAGTGCTATGGTGTTTCCAGGGGAGAATTACCCCCTATTTTACTTACATGCAAGTTTGAAGGCCCTTTTACCACCCTGTTGCAAGTGAACTTGCATCCAAAAACCTAGTTTGTGCTATCTTATCTCTGTTGAACCCCACAGCTCCTCAGAGAGGCCCCTGTAAACAGAAGCATCAGGAAGGGGGACTGCAAGCTCAGCCTCATCTCACAGCCTGGCTGAGGCAGCTGCAGGGGCCAGTGCCTCCCCAGGGCCTGGGGGCAGAAAGAGTCAAAAGCATGTTAAGGAAATTGAACTTAGGTCTTGTTGAGACTTTGAAGCAAACACTTCCAGAAAGGAGGGCAAGGGAGAAGTCACAAATCTACGTACACTGGCTGGCCTGTGCAGCCATGCCCACAAGGTAAAAGCTGCCTGATTTCATCCATGCCATGATGGCAGCCGAGAGACACCCATGGCCCTCCCACCATTGCGTCAGCCCAGTGACACCCACAGCCCTCCTGCCATCCTTTCAGCCCATTGACACCCACAGCCTGCCAGCCTCTCAGCCCAGTGACACCCTCAGCCTGCCAGCCTCTCAGTCCAGTGACACTCACAGCCTGCCATCCCCTCAGCCCAGTGACACCCTCAGCCCACTCTCCATCCCCTCAGCCCAGTGACACCCACAGCCCACCCTCCATCCCCTCAGTCCAGTGACACCCTCAGCCCACCTTCCATCACCTCAGCCCAGTGACACCCTCAGCCCACCCTCCATTGCCTCAGCCCAGTGACACCCACAGCCTGCCCGCCATCACCTCCGTTGCCTCAGCCCAGTGACACCCACAGCCTGCCCGCCATCTCCGCAGCCCCTCAGGAATGCCCTCCCCACAGCCCTTCATACCAACAGCCTCGCCTGCTGGGGGCATCCAGACCGTCGTGTCGGAGAGCGGGAAAGTGCAGCCCTATGGCTGCGGGGCAGGAGCCCCAGAGCCTGCCCACCATGGGTCTGCCCTTGCCCAGGCCACTGGAACCTGCGAAGCCAGAGAATTCCCCCCACTCTTCGAGTGCCTGAGGGTACAAAAAGCCCGTGAGGTTACTGTAAAAGAGGTGCTCTGCTCAAATACACAGGAGAGCCTGTTAGAAACATCTCAACTTCAAATGAACACAAATGGAGGGGGAAAAAAGAGTGTGTAAAAATGGGAACCGAAAAAGTGAGGAGTGCTTCTCTCCAGCCAGCGGGCTCCTTCTGTCTGTGGAAGCAGTTAGGAGACATCAGGAGGAAAATAGCTCTATCTAAGATGAACGGCTGCACTTACACTGTGGTGTTGTTGCTGGTAAAGCCTGTGTGGTGCTGCAGGAAACAGTGGCAAGAAAGGGGAATTGAAAGCCTTGGAGGAGCTCTGGGAAGCTTTCTCCACAGGCTGGCAGCCGGCCAGCTGTTGGCTCAGCCTTGCACAACCACTTCCTGTGGCCAAAAACACCCAGAAAGGGAAACAGGTGGTGGACAGAGGTTGTGTGGACATGGAGGTGTGAGGGCACTGGATGAGGTAGGGACCTGGGACACCTCCCCTTCTCCATGGACCCATGGGATGCCTCAGTCCATGCCTACACTCAGTCTTCCCTGCTGGCACTGAGCCATCCCTCAGAGCATCCTCCCTTGTGGGCTATCAGAGCCCAAGGCAATGGCCAGTCTTTCTTACTGACATTCCCATCTCCCTAAATATGTTTTTGCCACAGAGACCATCTCCTTCATTCATCTCTTATCCCAGGAGACACAACTTTGTGGGGCTCCAGCTCCTGCTTGTTAGCTCAAGCCAAAAGGAATAACTATAAACTAAGAATAAATACTAATTAACCTGAATCTTTCATCGTATCGTGATCTGAACCAGACGCTATATCTATCTTTAACTTTAGGCTGCATTGAGATGCAACCTCTATCCACAGCAGACAAAAATAAGATTCCTTCTTTTGATAAAGTTAATTGTGGGCCTCAACAAGACACATTTCTTGGCAATACCGTGATCTTATCTTTAAATGCTGCGAACTCACAAGGGTTTGAAAGGCCTTACATTTTGAGCACCTCCCATACAAGTTTTCTGATAGAGGAGAATTTAATCCAGGAACTTTCCCACATTGTACTGGAAAAAGAGGTGCAACGAGGACAGCTTTCACAGTGCACACAAAGGTTGAAGAGAGGCTGTCCCATAAAACCCAGCCAAAGCTGTACGAGTTCACAGCTGAGATTTAGTCCCCCAACCCAGGGAACAGTGGGGTGGAAGCCATACAGTATCCCCTGTTGAGCTGATTGAAATCAGTAGTGCTTTATATTGGTTTTAGTATCAGAGAGAGAATAACAGAGCAGGGCTAAAACCAAAGATTTATTTCCCTAAGTGTATCAACATTTTCAAAGCTGTTTCGATTTTTTTCATTTGTTGGAAGTAGTTCCAATATTTTCTAAATTACTAAAAACCACTGTTGAAAGCTCCTGTAACAAAACTGTGTTTTTCATTATGACTGTTGGTAATTCTGCAGACAACATACATATAGAGAGGAAACTATACAAACCAGACTTACTGTAAAAGCCAAGACCTTTCATAGATGCAGTTGTGTTCTCTTGCAGAAAAAATAGGTTATTATTTGGGGGAAAATATTTTTGGACTTCAAAAAACAGTGAGAGGGATACCAAGCAACTCTTTGGCAACAGCTATGCAAAGCTAAACTCTGCCCAGTTCCACCTCTCAGGCACCTTCTGTGCAACAGTCTCACATCAGCTAGGCTGGTAGCCAGGGTTAGCAATTTAATCTTTTCACACCATTTCAGTGTGGACACATAAGTTTTAATAAGCCTGCGGATGAAGTAAAAAATTAAGCCTCTACCATTTTAAAGTTGCATAAACACTGTTTAAGTGGTTTAACAGTGTGGTTTGTTTATACAGCACGAATGTCATAGTATATAGCAGCACAGCAAGCTCAAAGATGTGTCCAGCAGAGCCAGCTATCCAGGTGCTGGCACACCTTTCCATCCCCAGATGATGCTCCCTCAGTCTGTAGGACATGCACCTCACTTGTGAGGCCAGGACATTACCCACCCCCTCGTTACATAGGCATGTGAAGAACTGCTTATGTGTCAGTGCAACCGGTTAGCAACTGGGTCCTCTGAAACAGAGACACCTTGCTTTCCTAGAAGACAGCCCTCAAATTTATGCCGGAGGAACGAATGGCAACTCCATCATCCAGGAGGGCTGAAATAGTCAAAAACATTGAGGATGAAATACTGTTCTACCTTCTTGGTGAGCCCAACCACCACCGACCTCCTCTCTGTGTCTTGCAAGTGGCTGTGTTTCCTAAGGTAGTAAGGCACTAGTGAGCAGTGAGAACAATACAAGATAATCAGAAGTTACCTCTTTCTTACCAAAATTGATGGGAATTACATAACCAATGTGTTTTTGAGAACCTTGGTAAATTTAATGCCCAAATTGCTCTTCAGTCCTTCCATTTAGGGTAGAGGCTGGCTGTAAATCAGCAAAGGTACCTAGTCAAGTTGAAACACTGGCCAGAGTTTAAGCTACCTGAAAAGAGTCCCAGGTGCTCGTGTGTATTTAGGCACGTAAAACAACCTTTAAAAGTCCAGTCAAAATTTCTGTCCTTGAACTGAAGGTTCATATTCTTAGATGAGTCCCATAACCAAAACTGCCATCATAACAAATGCACAGGCATCTCCTTTCCTGGACGTGGGTGGTTTTGATGCCTGCACTGGTTATAAGAAGCAATGGACTAAGGGAGTACAAAAAGATGAAATTTAGGAAGATGAGTAATGTATGCAGTGTGGAGGCAGTGAGAGATGATCCACTTATTATGTGCTTTTATTTAATAATTTATAAATAAGTATCAGCCTTCCCCAAACTGCCCCTCAACCCAGCAATTACATGCTGGCTGTTTTCTTGTTAGTGCTATTCTTTTATAATAACAAACTGTTCCCAAAGCCTCACATACAGAGAGTTAGACAATCAAAGTACTGTGTGCAATTTTCCACTTAATTCATTCAGTTAGCTGCAATTAAAACAATACAGTTCAAAACCTTGTGTGTTTCTCTTAAAAAATACAAAACTTTACTTGTTTCTATTAATATATACAACCTACAAGAAAGAGTTAAGAAAGCCCCTTTGTCTCCACTGTCGTAGTAATTTTCTTATCCTTTTCTGTAGATGCTCTGGTAGTCATCAATATTTCTTTCAGTTGCTGTTCTTCAAAAGACACACACTTTTCATTCAACTGCAGAGAAAGGAAAGGAATCCAGTGGGTCAAATTCCCTTGGTGTTCAGATCCACTGCAGCTGCCCAGGAAGGAATCTAGGTGAAGGTGTGGGGTTTGCATTAAGGAGAGGATCAAACCTATTTAGAAGGGAAGAAGCACCATTTTATCAGGCAGTAATCAAATTTCCGTTCAGATTTTACCTAGATATTTTACCTAAATATTTCATATTTCCAGAAAAGCAGTGTCTTCATGGCTACTGATCTCTGCTTACTCACTTCATATAAATGACACACCAAGTTTCAGCATCACTATAGAGCCTTTCCTTTTTCGTTTTATGGGGTTTCACTAGTGCAACCTGATGAGAGTCTAATTAATATTATACCAGTTTTGCAGGTTCAAAAGAGAACAGCTCTACCTTGCTCCACAAGAAAGCAATAAGCCATCCTATTAGAGCATCTGTGACTGTCTCCCATACCACCAAGCTCCCTCAAAACTGGGCATATTTCCATCAGCCATGAACACAGAGCATGGAGTGCTCAGGGAGCAGCAATATCCCTGCTGTCTGAGGATGCCCTGTGTTTGTCCGAGCCTCACAAGGTTTCCAGAGCTTCTGTGAGCAGTAGCTCAACACTATTCCAAGTAGAAGACTATGCTCCTGGTGTGCTACTGTTTGGAATGTTAATTCAGTATTTCAGCCCTAGTTGTTGACAGAGGCTTTGATTCAGCCTACTCCTGCAACAGAAAAACAAATCACTGATTTGGATCTGTAGTCTTAATTATTATCTCACCAACATAAACGAGCATTTTATTTAAGCTCTATTTCTCAAGAAAGAACTATTGTCTGCTTTGATAAGATGGTATGAAATTTATCCAAACATTTATCAAACTATGTGAAATCTCATTCGAAGAATATATTCTGAGATCTTGAGAATAAAGCCCCTCAGGAAAAAGTAACACCAAAACATGTGTAAGACCAGAGACTCCCAAAGTCTAGTCCAAAGGGAATTCACAGCTCATCTAGTGCTTACCTTTACTGTTTTCTTCCAGTACACAACAGCACAAAAAGGACAAGGCAAAGTAAGGAACAAAAACCAGCTTTTATTTTTTTTACATAAAGGCCAAACCCAGCTCCAAGAAACACTTTCCAGTATTTTCCTTCCTTATAGTTACTGCAGTTCTACAGAGATGTTACACAGTGATGAATGACAAGGGAGGCACTTCACCAAATAAGGTACCTATTCCAAAAATTATTTTTATTAAAAGAAATGCTAATACCATACTTCTGGCTTATGACTTATGCTTGAAGAATCCTGCAATTTGCATATAATCTGGGTGAAAGAAATTTAGCTGAAACACCAACTCCAACTATTCATGAATGTTTAAAAAAAAAAAGACAAAAAAACCCACCACCACTGCTTGTCACGTTTTTTCCAAATGTGTTTTCTTAGCTTAGGTTGTTATAATTGAGATAGTACTTGGCAGACAGCAACTCTGTGTTCTGTAATAAACATACTTTGGATATGGCATTTCAGGGCAACTGAATTACTAAAAAACTTTTTATAAAGGTAAATGTATCATCAATGTATATCAAGGATCATGTTATTACAATAAAGTAAGGCACTGTCCAGGAAATCTAAAACATATTTCATATCACTTTAGTATGTCAGCATTATCAACCGATCCACAAAGACCAGTAACATTTTCATTATCATCTACATTTAAACTTCTTTAAGGTTTCAAGCGCCCTTATGTTCTGAAAACATGCAATTTAGTCCCACAGAGTAACTCCAAAAATCACATCAAGGAAGTTCTTCAATGGTTTATCTCAATGACTTCCAGATTAAATCTGCTCTTCTATAAACACAGAAAAGGCCTTTCTGTAAGTGCCTGTTTAGATCTTTTCAGTGCAGGAACAAAGGACCATGCAACTTTTAAAACAGTTATTAACTCTGCTGATGACACATATACTGAAATCCGTGCTGAGACCCTTAGTATCAGAAGAATAAAACCATATTTAAGAACTAAAATAAGATTATGGAGCACACAAAAGGAATAGTTTTGTTTCTGAAAGTATCTACCTTTTACCCCCTCACCTTTCACTTGGGCTTCATTGAATTCCCAATTACCAGTGCAAGAATGTGCAGTATCAGTGCAATAAGTGCACAAATGCCAGAATGCCAAGGTAAGGAAGAGGCAGACATTATAAATCTGTTCACTGTAGTGTTCCAGACTGGTGCTAAAATAAGAGTTATGAGCTACATTCATTTCCAGTAAATATAAGATTATCTATAGTCAGCTCAGGCCTTCTTTAGTCATCATCTACTTGGGAAGAAATTATAGGGTCTGTAGAACAGCATTCACTTTTCTCAATGTCAGAAAGCAAAAGTGAACAAACTCTGGCCCTTCTCCAGTTCAGGCCAAGGAGAGTTACGTGTGTGAATCCCTGAGGGTGACATCTATCCAGCCCATTACAGCTGCACTTACCCACCCTGTAAGCTCCCAGATCAAAGGCTCAAGCCTTTGGATAAAGAAAGGTTTCACAATAAAATATTCTTCCAAAAAGAAGTTGAGTGCACAAACTTACCATCTCTCCTTGTAACAAAAGCTGTTGTCCATAAAGTTTGCTAGAAGACAGGATCCACATCAGAGAGCAACAGAAACTTAAGGTGACATTTCAGGCCTGTGCATCTTGTATAGTTTCAGTTATGACTGGACAAGTGTTCTCCACGCCTTCTAGTACAGGGAAACAAAGAAGAGCAAAAGAAACCCTGAAGTCCTCCAGAACCTCTGCATTTCCACTTAGCTTTCCATTCAAGTATTTCTACCCTTGGTTATTGGTACTAAACAAACCCACGGACGCACTGAATATTAACAAAACAGCAGCAGCCAAGAAAATTAAACTGAGCTAGACATCATTGCTATATTGAACAAATGGATTCTTCCCTCAAACGACGACAAGAGCAGACAGAAGAGCAACAGCTGTGTGATGACACAGACCTTCAGCTGGGAAGGCAAATGGGCAGGCCTTGGTAGTTGTGTAAATTCTGTGGTTTGGTCTTGGAGGTTGTGGCTTCAGCCCCAAGTCCCAATTCCTTACCACAAACCACCAGAGACCTCTCTGAGTAAATGCAAGGTCAGCTCTTTCTCAGCGAGGCTCCATCAGATTTAAGTATCACCCATGCAGAAGGCCTGCAGCTGGAGCATCCTGCCATGGCATGGCTGTTCAGCACAGCAGTACATGGGCAGGAATCAGCCGGAGCGGGGGATAGCTGAGACCTGTTCAGCTTGACAATAGGAGACAATCCTTGAGCACCTTCCACCCCTTCAGGCTGCCTGCTTTGTTGGACAGCTCTCAGGAACACAACTCTGCTGCCTCCTTTGAATCAGACACAGAAGACTGCAGATTACTTAATGCTGCCTGTATCCCAGGAGCATCCTGGGGAACTTAATCACAGTCCTTAACCATGCTCCACTAGGCACTTTGAAGGCACTAGGTAAAAAACAGCCTCTGCATGTCAGGGCTCCTCCAGGGAAGGTCTGTCCACCTGCAGCAGTACCTGCAGAGCAGCAGCTTTTGAACAACTCCACGGTCTAGGATGTCATTCCCAACATCCAAACGTAGCTAACTCAGCCTGTTACAGCCACTCTGTTTCTGAACTCCAGGAATGAGGCAAACCTGCAGGAGCACCAGTGGTCAGAGCCACCCAGGCTCTCCAGCTGACACTGGATATAGATGAAAGCCACGCATGGGGCAGTCCCTGCTTTTTTGGTGCAGATGTACACAGAGAAAGGAGTGAGGGCAGAGCTGAGACAGTGGGAAGCTTGAAGAGAAGGAGGGCGTCTGTTACTTGAAGTCATTCTAAAGCACATTACAAATCTGTTAAATCATTGTGGCTTACCCTGTATTTCAGAGTAAATTAGTAACTTTTCAGAGGGAGTGAAGAAACTACCACTCCACTTTTAAATAATGAAAATGCTAAAAAACCTACACTTAACAGCTCTAAAACTGCAGCAAGTCACCCACCAACACCCACTCCTCTTGTCAGCAGGCTTTTTTCAGCTTTGCCTATTATTTGTGTCAAGCCAGAGATGTCTAATGCTTGCTGTGCTTATCCCCTCAACTTTTAGAAGCCCCACATGTACCTGTGCCACTGACCTCTTTTCTCCACAGTATTTTGATCTAAATAAGTAACAAACACAGAGTTTCCAAAATCATTTGGATTCACTGGCTCTGAGTGCATAGCTGTAAAAAATCTGCTTTAAGATTAACATCCAATTTTATTCATGCCTGAGGCTTCACCACAGCATCTATTTTTGTAAGATTAACAGCAAGATCCCAGTACTCTAGAAATGTAAAGAGTAACAGACAATTGTAAAAGGAAGATGATGTTTCCTAACCTGCCCTGCTCACATCCAAGAAAGTACATTTTCCCAGCCCTTTCCATGGTGGGTGCAATTTCTATTTGCATTTTTGCACCCACAACATGCAGCATGTGTATTAGTCTTTCTGCCTCCCATTAGCTGAAATGCAAACTGTGGGTGCCAAAAAATACTAGCACAAATCTCACATGTGCAAAGTGTCCCCTGAAAGACAGCTTTTACTCTGGAGGAGTTAAGAAGCAGACATCTTCCTGTACCTTGCACAACAGCATTTTGAATCATCTAACTTGAAAATACAAGTGTAGAAAATGAGCACTTGGTATTTTGGTTAATCCATTAGACATGAATATACACGAAAACACTTCTTTTTGAACATGGCAACTTGAGGACAAATTGAGGGTCATTTCTAACCTAAACACCAGAAGAAATGTTGCTTTAAGTAGTGCCTTTGGTATCTGTCAATTAGAGCTATTGCATTGCTGTCAACTTGCACTCCTGCTTTAGTTCCAGCTTTGCTCCATCCTACACAGATCCATACAAATTGTCTCTTGCAAACATGCACTAACCACTGGAAAGGGAAATTAATAAAGTGCGAGAAAAGCTGATTCATAAAGCTGACACTCCTGTGCCCAACAACTCTGGCTTCTCCCCTCCAGCAAGCAGTTCGAGATAGGCAGGCAAAGTGGTAAAAGATTATCAAATTGCAACTGTCATTCCTGACAAAATGCATCTCAATGCTGGAAGGAATTTTAGGTTTTAAGCTAAACCACCACCTCAAAGGGTTCCTCAGAGCCTGTCAATATCTGTACCTTGGATGGAAAGCTACCACCGAGCACAGTGTGTCCAACATATAGGACCTGCCACAAAATGAAGTTCTTCATAAGAAAGCTCATCTCAGTCTTGGTTGGTAACAATAACAAGGAGACAAGATGAGACCATCAGTCTCAATTGTGAAGACAATGTTTTCCTCCCATATTATTCTGTCTGTCATGTTCCCTTCAGGTTCCAAAGGAATCCCTGTCTCATACATCATTATTTCCCACAAAGCTTGAAAGCCTTCAGGGGGGGTTTCTTCCTGCCCACTGTACCAGCCTTGATGTCTGAGTACCTTCAGAATAGTGACAGAGGCCTCTGCTAGCAATAAAGGGGAACATCTGCATACCAATTAAACTGCTGAGCGCTGAAGAGTAAAAAAAAAAAAAAAGAGGGGGGAAAGCCTTGAAAGTAAATCTGAGCCAAGTTCTAATTAATGCCCTAGGCCCCGATTTACCACAGCACTTAGGCATGTAGTTAACTTTAAGCATGTATTTAGTTCCATTGAAGTCAAAAGACAGCATCGAAGAGGCAAACTACATTAGCACAATTTAATACTCTTTGGGCTAATTAATCAGCCATAAAAATTAACTATGAGAACTGTATTCCTTATTTCCCTCACTGTGACATTTCCAGATAAAAATACTTAGATGTGGTTGGAATAAGCAAAACAGCACTACCTCGCTTGGCTGTCATGGGCTGCTCGGTCCTACAGCTGGGAAGGCCAGTCCCTAAGAGCAGCTAAAGGAACTGAGCTCTCTGCATACCACAGCCTAGTGTCTGTACCTTCTGTGTGGTGGCAGCAAATAGGTGAATTGTCCCAGACACATCAAACCCTCTTCTCCACTTGGTAAGCCCAGCATGGTGAATGGCTGTCAACACTGCACCAAAAACATGCAGGCTAGATTTGGCCTGAACACAGTCTCCAAGGCCCAAATAGGACCAGTTTTTGAGCTCCTGTTGACTTCAAAAAGGCATGTGTCCAACCAACCATTCTGTAAATCGGAATGCAAGGAGACAAGCTGGCTGATAAGGGTGTTTTTGCTAGGATTGCTGCAAAAACAAAGCTGCAGAAAGTTTGGCGAGTATCATTAATGCTGTACAGGGACCTATAAAAGCTAGAAAAATGAAAGCAGGGGATATAAACTCCTCTCTGAAAATACTCCTTTATCTCATCCGTCATGAAAACAAAAAAGAACAGAAACAATCCCCCCAAAAATTAGAACACCATGAGCATAAAAAAAAGTACCAGCACAGCTTTTCAGATTAACTTTGAATTTCCTTGCTTTCATTGATTTGAGAGCTCTGTTGTTACTCCCTTGTTTTTTTAATTGCAGATACTAAAAATTCTTTTATCTTTCAAAGACTTTAAAGTATGTTATATAAATATGTAATTAAAGCCTCTTCCAACTGGGTATAATTTACTCTATAGTTTACAACAGCTGCACTACAGCTATTACAGTTTATCATTTAAAAGCCTAATTAGGGACTTCTTAATTAGTGGATCCTTCAGTCACTAGACTGTGACTGTGTAAAATACGCTCGGCAGCCATCGCATGTTACAAATCCACATGGAATATTTGCGTGAAAACAGGGTGTGTACAAGTCCAAAAAGACACTGCTGGTCCCTGCAGGTCAGCCCATGTGAGCGTGCAAAGCTCCACACTGCACCTACACTCCCCTCTCCCAGCTGCTCTGCACACAGCCTTTACCTCCTGCACGTGTTGCTGGGAACCACCAGCACCTCCTAAACCAAGCCCCCAGCCTGGCTGAGCTGACCTGCTATGATGGAGCACTCTGAGGTGACCATTCCTGGATTCTGACACAACCCAAGGAGAGGATGGGGCCGTGCCCACCACCTGCTCAGGCTGGCTCTCCTGCGGCTCACCAAACGTTTTCTCCAGCAAACACAGCTCCTCACTGCTGCCCTCTCTCTCTCAGGAGCTCTGCTCCATGCTGGATTCTGCAGGCACTTCCTCTGTGCTGCCCAAAGTACTTGTATCACTAGAAGAAAGAGGAGGGGAGCCAGTTACTGCCTCTCATTTATAGACACCAACACACATTTCTTGTCAATCACCACCAAATTAGCAGTCAGTCACCGAGACTTTAAGTGCAATATTTCCCTGAGTAAGGACTGTAACTCCTCCATCCTTCCTCTGGGTGGCACGGTGCCTGAGGAGCTGGTGGAGCCATAGGGAGTCTGAACAGGAATCACTCCCCAGAACGAGCCTCATAACAACTGGGGGCTCAGAGGACCCACTGCTCAGCAAGCAAAGAGCTTGTCCAGACCATACTCTGGAGGACTGGTGGGGGGTTGTTAAGTTTTCACCCCCTCATAACACAGCAGCAGTGTTACAGAGGGTCAGGTTTGGGGCCTGCCAGCATTTGGGAGTGTTGCTTTAAACAGTACAGTGACAAAATCATGAGTTCTTGTTGACTGCAGGATAATATAAATCAGCTATTGAAAACCTGTATCATTAGTGCTATTGCTTTCCAGTGGTAGATGGCTGCAGTAATGGATTGGCCTCTCCATCTCATCCTCCCACTGGAAAGCAACATATATAGGACCGATCAATAACCTGAGCTAAGTTACTTGTAGACATGTCAGGTGAGAATATCTCCCTTTCTCAAAGGTTGTAAAGACCAAGTATTTTTGCAAAACTTAGGCCAGACAACAACTTCGGATAAATTGTCATTATGGCACAGAACAGCATAACCAGATCCACCCACATTGTTACACAAAAGTTTTTAATAGACAGGAAGTAATTGTATTATATGCATGTATTACTTTGTGGGGTCATTAGCTCAAGATATTCCTTTGCAACAGGATAAATTTCCATTTGAAAAGCATTTTCTGGAATAGCCATGTTGCTGAAGAGCCTGTTTGATAGGAAATAACTAGATTATTTGCCACTAATTTCTGCAGCTGAAATCCTAAAATACTTCCAAAATCAATACCAAAATCCACTGCCATTACTAGGGCCTGGATTTCATCCTATTGTATCACAACATATTACCCACCTAATTTAGTGCTGTCAAATTCAAAGTCAATGGTAACCCTACAGGTCACAGCCTTGTTTCCCCATGGATCAATGGAGAGGCTAGAGAGGTGTTTAAGGACCTTCCCTACAAAAAGATGGCATCACTTTCATGCCATCACTATGACTAAAGCACGTGCACGTTTCCACCCTTTACCTCACCTCTGTCACTGGTACACACACAGAGGGGATTGCAATCAGGTAGATTCTAAAGCAGGTCAGAGGCACAGTTATTTCACAGTTATCATGTTACAGCCCCCAAGGATGCCCACGGACACACAAGGAAGCAGAGGTGTGCTGAGTTCTGGCTGTACACAGAGTCCTGGCTGTACACTGAGTCCTGCTGTGGCACTGACAGCAAGGCAGTCTTTGCAGGGGAGAACAGACAAACACAAGCCAGGGCTTTCCAAAAGGTGAGCTGTCACCTTCTGAAAACCCCTGTGGCAAGCCTCCTATGGACTCAGCCAAGGACTTCACGGGGACATCATACTTCTTTGACCTGACGTTCCTAGAAAACTTTGCACTCCAAATTCCTGGAAATCCTTGCACCTTAAATCAAACATCCTTTTAAACAGGTCCTTGTTGTACAACACTTAGATTGCGTGGCCTGCATGCTACTAGTGCCGACTTTCTTCATTAAGTTAACTGGCATCCAAAGCAATGCCATGGAAGTGATTTTATCTGATTCCGTTTTGCCTTGACTAATGTGACAGAAGAGCAGGAAAGGCCTTTCAGAAGAGGAAAAGTAAGGGAGTGGCTGGGTTCAGGTATTCATAACCATAAAGCGGAGGAGAAGGCTAAAGACAGATGAGGAGATAACATCTTGCCAATATGCTTTATACTCAACTTGCCTGGTGGTCCCAAGCAAATACCATGAACCTCCTTGTCTTCTCAACAGGGCAGACATGCTGTACCCCACCGTGGAAAATGCTGGGAGAGCAGAGCAGCAGAGCAGCCAGTGGCTTGGGAAGGCCAAGGGCCCTCTGGAGCATGGTGCCTGCAGCCACCACAGCTCCCACCAGGACAGCTCACCATCCCAGCCCCCTCAGCTCCAGGGTACTAAGGTGCGGAATCCAAATACCTGCACTCAGCCCACACAGTCCCAGCTGCACGGACTGCTGGCTGACCTGTTCCAGCCTCAGGGCTGCTGCCTGAACCCTTGGGTTCAGAAGAAAGAAATGGATCTCTGGCAACCAAGAGATCCCTTTTTATGGGGGCAGGATTATGCCTTTTTTATTTTGGAATAAATGAAAACACTCCAGAAATACTCAGTCTTCTTTTAAGATTTCTCTATTTCACTAACTTGTTCCAACCTCCATCACAGCTCTTTCCTTGTCAGCAACTGTACCACTGCGCTATACCTCTGCCCACGCACAAATGCACTGGTTGAAGGTATGAACTGGAATCTCTCCGTTAAAGGAACAAGCAGGCATCCCAGAGACTGACACAGCCGCTATTTGCATGTAAAAGAGGAAAAGAAGGTGCATGACTGAGCCCAAATTAGCATGAGCAAAGCCTACCACTGCATTCACAAACTACAGCTTGCATGGCGGTGCTAATAGAGCTGCACACTTTCCTCACAAAGAAGAATTTCTACCTCAGCTAAAAGGAAACTTGGGTAACAATGGTCCACAAAATTTTGTATGAACTTTTAAATCCTTATTTTTCAAGAATTTACAGAGTGCTAGAAAAAGAGAAAAACAGCAGATGCAGGGTGAGATGATATGCCCAGGTTTAATTTCATCTCCACTTCCAGCTTGATTCCTGAAGATGGCTACCTCAGCAAGAGACGTGTTTTGTAAGGCCTTCATCACTTCTGTACCCCTAGATTTCTGAATGTCCAGAAACATTCACAGTGCTCAGTGCATCTAAAAATGAAAACCAAAATAAGCAGGGCAAATGCAGATCTAACACTCCATTTCCATCTTTTGAGAAATGAGAACCATTTTTTTCACCATGAGCTCTTTCAAAGCAAGGCTCTGGGGATTTGTTTATGTCTGCAAAGTCTTGCTGAAGACACACACTTCATAAACTATAAGATTTCCAGATTCTAACACTATCTTTGTCTCTCTGGCTACATACAGAGATACCTAAGCATCCATGTCTGTGTATATACCTACTGAGTCAGAAAAAGAGGATTAGATGTCTCAGGAGACCGTTTAAGTAGTGCAATTTTATTGGTCCCCCAAACCAAACTGCACTTTGGGGTCCTGTTGCAGAGAAGTTATAGACTCTCTTTACTTTATCATCATACTTCCATGGAAGCTGTTGGAACAATTCAGTGCCTCCGCTGTTTCCGCAGTAGGTTTAACTCATCTGACAAACCAGAAAGAACACTAAATGCAGACATTAATGGTAATAAAAATCAAAGCTAAGCCCTACATGAAGAGAAACAAATTCCAAAATGAAAAATTCGATTACACAGTACCTGTCTCCTGTCTTGACTTCCTCATTATACGTAGAAATTAACCCTGTCATTAAGCACTTTGATCAGGCTGTACATAAACAGCTTATAATGGCATGAAATCTACCACAGCAAGCACGCAAACGAACGAGCAGAGAAATACTGACATTTGGGGCTGCTGTCAGACATCAAGTGCTGCTACTCCCTCAGGGCCAAACTGCTGGAGTAAATGGGGTTACTCTGAGGATTAATTGTTCCCTCCTGGTGTGCACTACTTCCAGAAAGTTTCAGTAATAACATCTAAGAGGCTATCGTTTGGAGATCAGTGGCACTGTTTTAAGATCTTCAAGAGATTCAAGAGATTTATAAGTCAGGCTGTTGTAACTGCTCTTAAACTAAAACTCAGTACAGAAATTCTTGGCCCATGATCGACCTGAAGCAGCAATCCCACCTTTTTAAAGTGTTCTGGGGTCAAAAGAGCAAAAGCAGTATATAAGTAGGAACAATCACTATCATCTATCTACTCAGAATTAAGGCACGAGAGGAGAGGTGCTTGTGGTCAAATTGGTCCAGCTTTGAATTGCTCAGAAATGAGGTATGGCACCATTTCACGTACTTCAGCTCCAAATATTTGTCATTTACATTTGGAGAATTTCCATGCACTAATGCACTTTATAAGCAAGACTTCTGGGCAATTGTGAGTTTTTTTCTGGTTGGTTTGTTTGTTTGTCAGGATTTTGGAGCAGAAATTGCTTTCTTCTGGGCTGCATTTAATGCGATGTAGCTTCACTCACTTATGATACTCTCTAAATTCCTTCTACATACAGACTGCTACACAATCAAAGGTGGTCAGGCCAACAGTCTCATTCCAGTTCTGCCCCTGTCTTGCCATCAGTCCCTTGCCATCTCTGAGCCCTGTTTTCAAGCTCTGTTTCCTGTTGGCTTTTCCCACCTCTTTGCTCAGAAGACCCTCAGCATGGAGACAGGCCATGAGGGTGACCAGGTACAACATCTGCCCCTGAGCACTGCCTAGGACACTCCATTTTATCTAGGAAGTACAGCTCAGATGCTCTCTGCTTTCCTAAATTAGCTGGGATAGGGTTCTGAGGATTTGTTAAGTATACGGCAGACACAGACATAAGGGAGGAATCCTGACTCAAAAGAGGCAAAGACAGTTTTCCACTGTCTTCAAGATGGCCAAGATTTTACCTTTAACATCCTAATGAAAGCTTGGACAAACACTAAGCAATCCCACAGATTATTTGTTTCTGTATGTATTGCTAAACATATTGTAGAGCAGACATTTTATTACTCCTAAAAGTGCTAAAGTCCAGTATTTCCTCCACTTATCCCAATCCACTCTTTTATCCTATTGCTACAATCAGCTCCAGGATGTTATCGCAATACATTGTTCAAAACAGCTATCAGCACAATTCAGACAAACTCAGCCATAGACCAAAACAGCTGAGACAAAATATCACAGGCACCATTGGGCTTCCCAGCCTTTGCCCTCACTCCATAAAACTGCATAACCCTTCTTACTCATGCCCCACATACCAGTT